GCTATCTACGTCTTTGCCTAAACTATTTTTCCCCCTCCTAGATTATTTTTGCTGATGAATGCACAGAAGCGGAAGGTCGCCACTGGCACATGAAACATTTTTGTTGCCTTGAGTGCGAAACCATCCTTGGAGGACAGAGATACATCATGAAGGACGGGCGCCCATTCTGTTGCGGCTGCTTTGAGTCCCTCTACGCAGAGTATTGTGAGACTTGTGGGGAACACATAGGTAAGCGTATGTTAACACAGGGGGGGAAATGGGCACACTACAAACTAAGCTAGAAGCTCAAGTTTCTAATCTGTAGGTGAAGGGGTCTCTGAAAATGAATGATAAAAGTGTTGCCTGTTTGGGGGGGACAGCTGGCATCTAGGGTTTTGGGTTTTTTGGGGGGGCAGGGCTTAATCTCCCAAGTTTGTGTCTGTTAATTTAAAAAATAAACATTTAGTAGACTTTAAACTCAGAATGATGACCTCAAAGTCACCATACTCGATGAAAGGCTTCAAGGGGAAGCTCCAGCATGTTTGCTGAGCTAGTCTGCCGGCAATTTCAATTTGATTTAATTTGAAGTATGAGTTTCTTTTATTACTTCAGCTGTGTTAAATTAGCAAAGAACAGCTAGTTCTGAAAACTGGTATACCGCCAAGTGAAAACTTTTCATCCATCCACTGTTGTGAAGTGGGTTCTGGTGCCACAAAAAGCTTTGTTGCAACAGATCTGTTAGTCTTCAGCAGTGTGGCTCCGATTTTTTTTCTTTTTTAATTGACACCAGCATGCTTCTAGCAGACATGCACACAAAAAATAATAATCTCAACTACTCCTTTTCTTAACCAGGGGTTGACCACGCCCAGATGACTTACGATGGACAACATTGGCATGCCACAGAAACATGCTTTTCTTGCGCTCACTGCAAAGTTTCTTTACTTGGCTGCCCTTTCCTTCCCAAGCAAGGACAGATTTATTGCTCCAAGTCATGCAGTCTGGGAGAGGATGTTCATGCTTCGGACTCTTCCGACTCCGCTTTCCAGTCTGCCCGCTCGAGGGACTCCAGGAGAAGCGTTCGCATGGGGAAAAGCAGCCGGTCAGCAGATCAGTGCAGGCAGTCTCTCCTCTTGTCCCCAGCCCTGAACTACAAATTCCCTGGCCTTTCTAGCACTGCCGATGATACGCTCTCACGGAAACTGGATGACTTAAGTCTTTCAAGGCAAGGAGTAGGCTTTGTTGATGAAGAGCTCTGGAAAGGAAGGCGGGAGGAAATGCCTGATGATCCAGAAGAATGGGCTGAGCATGAAGACTACATGACTCAGCTGCTCCTAAAGTTTGGCGACAAAGGCCTTTTTCAGCAGCCGGTGGAAGCAGACGTTCGATCAAACGAGCAGTGGATTTGCGAGAGCATGGTGAAAGGCAGATCAGAGATGAAGAAAAACAGTCAGAGCCTAGCGAGCAAGAAATACCACTCAAATATGTACTGGGCACAGTCCCAAGATGGCCTAGGTGACTCTGCATATGGTAGCCACCCAGGCCCTGCCAGCAGCAGGAAAATCCAGGAGTTGGACATGGAACATGCCGCAACTAGATACAAACATGACCAAAAGCAATGGTATGATGATTCGCTGGAGCGATTGTCAAACCTGAAACAAGAGCAGTGTGTTCGGGATTCAATGGATTCCCTGGCTTTATCTAATATCACAGGTAAGAGGATCAAGAGAACGTAATATTGTGATTTGCACTTCCATTTAGAAAGCACTAATGATGCCTAATCTATAGTTAGCATTCATCCCAACACATTTGCTTCTTACTAGTAGGCTGCGAGAGGTATGCTCTGGGCAAGGCTTTCTTTCTTTCTCTTGTGCTCGTTGTACAGATACCACCTGTGTCGAGGCACGGGAATTTAAGATCATGGAAGAGGGACTTGATGAGATAGGAGTCTTTGATACAGGTTTCTTCTCTCTCCATTACTAGCCAGCTGAACACTGCACATAAGTTTCCGCTGCTGCTTTCCTCCTCCCTTTTGCCTAGCTGAGCCTGACAAAGGGGAAAAACTGGGTAGGGGAGATAAGGACCTACGATTTCTACTAACTATAGGGCAGTGGTGTCCAAACTTTTTTCAATGAGGGCCAGATTTGATGAAGTGAAGGGCTGAGAGGGCCGACCAATTGTTAACAATTTTTTAAGGATTGAAGTTGTTGAGCTCTTTTATGATTTTACTCCAAAGTTGTTGAGCTTTTTTAGGGAAGTTGTTGATTTTACCCCAGGAAATAAACTGCCACAGGGGCCAGATTAAACCAACCGTTCTTATGTCATTATCCTTCATAACCCATACTTGAGTAACTTAGCAAGAGCTGAAATGTATAAACATTTGCACCTGAACTGTTGGGAAATAATGGTGGTGGTGTTCATTTAACCTACTTCATTATAATGTATTCCTCTTAGGTGCTTCAGTTGATGGAGAAGTCAAACCAAGACCTTCCTTGTATTCCTTACAAACCTACCCAGAGCTGGAAGTAGAGGATTGTGAGAAAATGAGCAACATGGGCACTCTGAACTCCTCAATGCTTCATAGGAGTACAGAGTCTTTAAAAAGTTTAAGTTCTGAATTATGCCAAGGCAAGACGCTGCCAGAGGAAAAGCCAATGCACGTGCCAGTACTGAGAAGATCCAAATCGCAGACCAGACCTCAGCAAGTCAAGTTTTCAGATGATGTCATCGATAATGGAAGTTACGAGAATCTCGAAATCCGCCAGCCTCCTATGAGTGAAAGGACTCGTAGGCGTGTTTATAAGTTTGAAGACCCTGGGAAGAGACACCAGCATCGCCGCAGGAGGAGTAGGAAGTCCAGGTCCGATAATGCGCTTCACTTGGTTGCAGAAAGAAAATCTCCGCCAAAGGAAAGACTTAATTTTTATTCTCCTCAGGATTATGACAAGTTTGTTCAGAATAAAGGTCATGCCGTTCGAGCATACACTCCAAACCCATACAGCCAATATACTCATATTGCCTCTGACTACACAATGAGGAACCAGAGGGACCAGTTTCTTGGATTTTTTGGAGAGGAGGAAGACTCTTGGTGCTCGTCTTCATCCTCCTCGTCCGATTCTGAAGAAGAAGGGTACTTCTTAGGACAGCCCATTCCACAGCCCCGACCAGTCAGATACCCCTACTATACAGATATCCTTTCCAGCCCGACTGCTGAACTCCCCAGTTCTCAGTTTGGACAGAGGGTAACCAAATCGAAAAAGAGAAAACCTCCCAAAGGCAAAAACTGTATAATTTCTTAATTTTTGAACTGTTTCTTCACTGTTCTTCAAATGTTATGTACATAAATGGTTAAAACAACTTGTGTAACCTGTAACGGGGCAGTCTCTTGTCCATGTTCTCTATAAAGGCCTTGCGGTCAATAATCAGTTGAATCAGGAGGGAGTAGTAGAAGAATAAATTGAAAGAGTTTATAATAGCGGTCAGATGTGGTTTTAGAGGGCCTTACCAGCAAGAATGCCAGTCAGTATCTTAGGTTTAGAACTTGCCTGCTACTTCTGTTGCCTAGCTAAGACACAGTATCTCAATTATAGCGTGCAACCCTATTCATCCTATAGATATTACTGTAGCCCAACCATTTTGATGCTAAGCAAGAATGCTGTTTCTGTACAGGGCAAAAGGCGTATCAGATTGACTATTCTATTTGCTTTGCATTGTATCTGAGTGACCCTCAGGTAAATTAATTTAAATATATGATGTTCCTTGCCCTTAAAAATATGGTGTAAGCTACAGCCCCTACTTATGAAGTTAATTGCATTAAGTCAGTGAGTCTGCTTATATTAAACTTTTGTGAAAATGAGTCTGAGAATCCTGTATATTTGAAACACTACCCCAAGTTCCAAATGTAGCATATAAGCAAAAATTAGAGCCATCTGATATTTATAATGTAGTATTTCATAGCTAAATCTGTATTTGTAACTTAACGGTGCAAATAATGTACATATTGTAAAGTTGAGATTTAACAAACTATTTTTATATCCCTGAATTGCAAGACATTTGTTTAAAATACCATTCGTTTTGTTTGAGGGTTTAACAGCAGTTTGAGTCAGGCAGGGGTTTGTTAAATGTTCATAAGTTTAAAGTAGTGAAATGTTTAATTTTTGACGGAAAAGCTCTGTTTTGCATGGTAGGAGCTATGTAAATACTGTTTAAGCTATGGTACGTAATATTAAAGGAATTATTTATGGGTTAAGACAACTAAGTGTGAAGCAACATTACAACAAAACACTTCATTTTGACTGTTTCCATATGGCAGGCTTGAATCTAATAATACGCTTTAAAATGACCATCTGACCATTGTGACTAGGTGAAATGGCCCATGTTGTATAGAAGTAGTTGAAAATTAAATCAGCTATACAGTAGTGTTAAAAGCTGCTTGATAGTTGGGCTATAGAGTCCCACTTTCTGCAGCAGGTTTCCTAGTAGCAACCAAGCCACCAAAAGGCAGTAAAGATGGCCCCTATGCTGTCAAAGGAAGACTGTGTGTGTGTGTGTGAGAGAGAGAGAGAGAGAGAATGCAGATGTTCTTCCTACGAAAGGCACTGACATCTTTCAGCTCACTGTCTAATACCCAAGGAAAGTCTGCGTCTTAACAGCATTTGCAATCTGTTATTTGCTGTTGATCCACCACAACCATGTCAACAGTTCATAAGCATATGCTCAACCTGCCTATACGGATTATGTGGACAACTATTATGTTGTCCGCTTTGGAGATAACTCAGGCAGATTATGACTTAATTGATCCTAATGTGATGTCATCCACACTAAGTGTCACACTGGCAAATCCTTTGAGGTAGTTGACTTAATCCCATATTGCAGGTGAAAGCTATGAGCAAGGTAACACATGTTCACTCTCCCGTATGCACACATTAAGCATCCCTGACACTTTTGGAAATAGTTGTCCGTATAATACCACTTCAAGTGATTATTCTCCCCCCATATATACGCACAAAAATACACACACAAAATCTGAAATATGTTTTTATGTACACAAATGAAAACACTGGAAGGGGAACAGCATACCCTTTCTTCGATTCTTTTAGGATTAAAGAATTTTTTTTAAAATGCAAATTGCCAACTTATTCAGAAGTATTTTGTTTAATTTCAGTTTACAAAAGGCTACTTTTTAAGTTTAGTTTTACAACATAACAAAAAACTACCCTAAACACATATGTAAATTTACTCCACCATTACTACTGCATATACGTAGCTAGCTTTGGTAATGGAGCATGTCACTTTGTTAAGCATGTTCTAATGTATACTGCATACATGGAATGTACATCTGCACTGAATTTCAGAAATGACCATAACAATACCTCAAACATGTTTTCGCCTTCTTCAGGAATTTACTTAACTGTTAATGAATTATGCAGTCAAGGGTGCAGATGCTGATGGGAAATCCATTTTTAAATAGTTTCCAATTTACATATGGACAATCCCAAGTTGATCTTACGATTCTTCAAATTCGTGCCTGACGGTGTCGTATTCTGCAATGAAGTGCTTAAGTTCTTCAATACATCTCTCACCAATCTCGTGCAAATTCTGTCTCAAGGAAAACTGGATGGGTTTTTCTAACGCAGGGTCTTTTTCAATCAGCATTTTCACTACAGCACCAAAGGTTTCGCAATCCTGCCTGTACACCTAGAAATGATTTTTTTAAAATTCATGAAATACAGCAATATTAATGTATCCTCCACACTAAAGAACAGTAGGCTAACTGGTACAACAGACACTCTCCAGAAAAGTACAGAACTTTATCTCAATTTCCAAAAACTGGCAGCTGTCATTCTGTGCCCTTTCCCCTTAAGGTAGGAGTAATGGCTGGAGTTTCCCCAAACAGTACAACTTAATGATAACATTAAAGAAGAGTTTGGATTTGATATCCCACTTTATCACTACCCCAAGGAGTCTCAAAGCGGCTAACAATCTCCTTTCCCTTCCTCCCCCACAACAAACACTCTGTGAGGTGAGTGGGGCTGAGAGACTTCAGAGAAGTGTGACTAGCCCAAGGTCACCCAGCAGCTGCAGGTGGAGGAGCGGAGACGTGAACCCGGTTCCCCAGATTACGAATCTACCACTCTTAACCACTACACCACACTGATGTAGTGTGTATTTCCCCATTACATACAGAAAATCACAGTATCAGACTAAAACCCAAGAGACTGATTTGTAATTTTCAAAGACCTGAGAAAACAAAAGCCAAACATCTAGCCTTGAAAAAACAAAAGTAGGCGACAGCATTAGACAGGCCACTTTGAGGACTTTGCTGAGCCACCTTCTCTGGTTACTACCAGCAGCTTAACTTCTGAAAAGGGCTCCCAAAGAGTGTCATAGTTTGGTGGGAGAATAATCTCCATCTAGCTACCTAGGGCCCAGCAAAAAAGGCAAATACTGAGAAGTGGCATGGAGAAAGACCAACAACCACTGAAGAGATCTGAACTGGTGAGATATGTCCTATAGCTGTTTCCAGTCTGCAACCCTGCAACTGTATTTTGAACTAACAAGTTTCCAAACTTGGAGAAGTCATGATGTACAACACATTGCAATAGCTCAATATGAAGGTTTCCAGATCATGCACAAACCTGTACCCAGGAGCAGCCAATTAAGTCCATGGCACAGAAGCTGCTTAGGCCTCCTGTGACAAGTTGTATCTCAGCACCCGGGCTGCAAACTTGATCCTTCAGAAAGAATGCAAAAGGACGGCTTTTGAAGGCAGGAGCGGTCCGCGAAGCCTGGGCGCGCTGATGTCAGCGCGCGCAGGCTTCGGCATGCCGGCAAGGCTCCGCCAGCAGCGGCAGCCCTGCCGTTGCTGGCGGAGCGGTCCGCGAAGCCTGGGCGCGCTGATGTCAGCGCGCGCAGGCTTCCGCATGCCGGCAAGGCTCCGCCAGCAGCGGCAGCCCTGCCGTTGCTGGCGGAGCGGTCCGCGAAGCCTGGGCGCGCTGATGTCAGCGCGCGCAGGCTTCCGCATGCCAGCAAGGCTCCGCCAGCAGCGGCAGCGCTGCCGTTGCTGGCGGAGCGGTCCGCGAAGCCTGGGCGCGCTGATGTCAGCGCGCGCAGGCTTCCGCATGCCGGCAAGGCTCCGCCAGCAGCGGCAGCGCTGCCGTTGCTGGCGGAGCGGTCCGCGAAGCCTGGGCGCGCTGATGTCAGCGCGCGCAGGCTTCGGCATGCCGGCAGAGGTCCGCGAAGCCTTGGCCGGATGGCCAGATAAACCCACAATCAAACTCTGGGTGGTCAGGATTTAGTTTGTTTATTGGCCTTCATCCTGTCTGTCTGATTCACTACTTGTCCAGTCCATTTCCAGAAACACCACATCTCAACTATCCCACCTGCTTACTATTGAGGCACACAACAGAATTTGAATATGTAAAATGGGAATGCATGCAAACTGCATATATTTAGTACTGCAGTTGAATTTATTTGACCTGGTTAAAAAATATAAAAAGAACACAGTTCTGCCGAAACTGCAGGCCAAATGGAGGGTGATTTCAGATTAAGAACACGTTAAGTCCAACTTCCAAAACATCTATAAAGATGTACAGATCTATATAAAGATCTATATGTACAAGTTACATAAATAGCTGTATGAAGTTTGCAGCTAATTAACTGTATTACACACAAATAAAAGGTGCCTAGCCACAAAATGTTGCAATGTGCCTAAAATCTCAAATGTTAGTCCCTGCTCTTTGGACACAGTTTCCTCCCTATTTTAGTACATGTAAAAAAAAGTGTGAGACAATGGAGTACAAGGTTTCTGTATGTAACTTTGAGTGCTGGATTTGTCTGGGGAGAACTGATATTTGCTGCAAGCTGAGAGATGTGGAAGACAGGGATTAGGAATCCAAACCAGCCTCCGCTTGAGTTTCTCCTGACTTGCAATATTTAACTCTGGTCTATATTTGCTCTGCCTGCTTCAAGCTACTCTCAGCTCAAGCTGAAATGTGGAGGTCTGAAACATGGAGGGCAAAAGCAATGAATAACTGCAGGGTGGTTGTAAGCCAGGGGTGGACAGACTTCAGGCTTCTGGGATCTACAAAGATCTAATTAGAGCTGGCTCTACAAGGCGAGTCATGGCTGTTTTTAAGTTTCGATTTCTCCGCTGATTCTACTAAGATCCACCAACAGGAGCCTGGTGGAAAATACAAAACACTTTGAATTAAAGAATTCAGAGCCTGAACAGTGCAGTGTTCAGCGACAAGACAGCTTCACAGTTCTTACAGATATCATGTACTTGGGGTTGTCCAACACCACACCCAAGACCACCTCAGCCAGGGAAACAGGAAGAGTAGCACACCAATAGCAGCCCTAATCTCTCTCTCTCTCTCTGGCCCAATACTAGGCATAGGCGTTCTATCCCAGCCCAGAAGAGAGGGGTTTCCTGGCAAGACACATAGTTTGCTTTGTGCTACACCAAGTACCTGACTAGGTCAAATCTACTCTGTCCAGGTCATCCACCTATGTTTTGGTAATACAGCTTGCATGCACATAAGTGTTTTACGCTACCAAGAAGCAATCCTTGAGCCAACAGTTTAAAATGTTGATTAAACCGCTTCCAGTGGTTTCCAAAGATTTTCAAAAGGGCAAACAGCTTTACTCAAAACATTTCAAAATACAACTAGGGAGTAATAAACTTTTGACTGCAGGAAGGACCCCACCCTTCAATGGTTTATTTTAAAAGTAGCAAACTGACCAACGCCGTTTCCTAGTAGAATTTGCTTCTCTGTGAAAACAGGAAGGGTGTCGTTTATCTACAAAAATTGTTTGCTTAGTATTGATTTGATAGCTAGAAATGCATTAATGATTCTGGTTTCAAGTTTATAGCCCCTCACAGGAAGAAAATTTAATTTAGACGTCATCTAAAGGAGTACAAAGGTTAAGTGAGGGTGGGGTTTATTCTGCTTGTATGGAAACAAAAGCAGCCCATTTTTAGCAGACATGGAGAAATGCAATTTGCTGCTGACAACATATATTCAGTCTAGCACGTATTTATGAGGCCTACCACTACACGCATGCCATAAAGACTTACAATGATTAGCTTTTAATATACGCTGTATTTTTCCTTCCTCATTTCACGCACTCTTGACTCCACTTTAGGTGGCAAGCCACCTCAAATACCAGATTAGAACTAAAAAGAGCAAAATACAAATGCAATGTTTGTGAAAGCTAGTCATTACTAATTTTCTGTAATGGCCTGCATCATTTCCTTAATTCTGAAGCATTTAAGGATTCAGAATAGGCACATGCATATGCTGAACAGTCTGGACTGGGCTGGACAAGAACTGGACAAGAACTGGGGTGGAAGAGTATCATCTTATTGTTCTAGAAGCGTAAATATCTGAGGTTTGCAGCTTCACTCCTATGATAAAGAGATTACTGTAATAGACACTGTGAGAAGTTTCTGGTCTTTGTAGCTTTGGAATGGAAACAGTTTCCCCCAAAATTAACAGAAGCAATAACATCAAGTCATTTACATTCTTAGCTAGCAAAACTATGAAATATAATTTTGTCCAGCAAAAGCAAATGTGTGCTAAAGAAAACCAGGAATATTAGAAAAGCTTAGTTTATAGAGTGGAGTAGACTAGACCCAAAATACACTGATTGAAAAGCAACTTTGAATCAACCACAGATTTCTTTTTTGTCTATATTCTTTAATGTGAACGGAAATATTTTAAATTCATTTTATCAATGATACTACTGAAAATGTTAAGTAATAGGAGTAGCCTTCAGACCCTGTTGTGCAAGTATTCCCTATGAATGAAGCAGCACATTCTCAAGAATGATCATTTTCATTGCAGTCTAAAAAAGGATGCGGTTTCCAAGCAGCTGCTGCTTCAGCTTCATAAAAACAACGAACACTCTGATCTAGATCTACATTGCTTTATTCTGTAGCTTACTGTAAGCGCATCTGCACCAAATCTACACTTAACTTTTAAACTCTCATTAGCTTGCTATGCTGCAAAAAGCCTGATCTGACGGCTGACAATCTGCTTTATTTTAAAAGATGATGATGAAGAAGAAGAGTTTGGATTTGATATCCCGCCTTTCACTCCCTTTAAGGAGTCTCAAAGCGGCTAACATTCTCCTTTCCCTTCCTCCCCCACAACAAACACTCTGTGAGGGGAGTGGGGCTGAGAGACTTCAGAGAAGTGTGACTGGCCCAAGGTCACCCAGCAGCTGCATGTGGAGGAGCAGAGACGCAAACCCGGTTCCCCCAGATTACGAGACTACCGCTCTTAACCACTACACCACACTGGCTAAAATACCAGCTGGCAGAAATCACAGAAGCACATGGCAGCACCCATGTTTGCCCCATTACAGCGACTCATTTAGTCATTAAATTTTTTTTTTAACCCTGAGACTTGCCTTCATGCAAGTTTTAAAGTACCGCGTACTTGCAGCCAAGTCTTTTTAAAAAGGATTTTTTTCTTCTTATGGGTTTTCAGGATTCCATCCTAAATAAACTTAATAATGAAACAATAGTTACAAAGAATCAGAGAACAACAACTACCAGAGGTGAGGTTTACCTGTTCAATCTCCTTTGTCTTTGCTGCAATTGCCTTGGAACGACTAACATGCGGGCTGTCTTCAAACAGTTCATTATTGTCTGGTATGCTGGCGCCAGTTTCTTCGTGGCGTTCTGCATATAACGGTTCTGAGGATGCAGCCTTTAAGAAAGGTACAGTAATTTCATGCAGTTAATGTACAAACTGTGTAAGGGCAGGAATGAGAGAATAAGGAAAACACGTAATTGACACAATGCAGCAAAAGCCAGTTGAATCTAGGATGCAAAAAGACAAAGAGTTATAGTCTTGGTGCCTGCTATGGAGGAGCGCTCTCAGCATTTTGGAGATTTTCTCTCTTAGATAAATATCAGAGAAACCAGTTTTTCAGATGAGCATGGATTTGTGTTCTGGATCTGATGCAGTGGGAGCTGAGAAACAGTGTTGGTTGAGAAGCTGCACATGGAATATGACAGGGAAATCTCTCTTTGAAATTCCTTTACTGAAGAAAAGGAACAAGAATTTCAAAGTGTGAAACTGCTGAATCAGAACTATCAAGAAGTCTGACTCACTATTCAGGCAATGGTTTCCAGACCCAATTTTGTAGAATAGTGCGATTCCCAAATGTAGTCATAGTATAAAGTTGGCAAACTTAACTTAGGTCCACTTAACTTAGGTCCATTAATTTCAATGGCTCTATTCTGAGTAGAACTTACTGGTTACATGGCTCTGCTATCAGACAAGTTTGGAGTTTTGCTCAGTCATTAATTTGGACGTACATGAAAATTTAAGACAGCCAAATACTGCACAGTGGCAAATTATTGTTTTTAACTTACTTCATAATCTGAAATTTCAGGTACGCTGCTTGTGTCTGTCTTCTCTGCTTTTTCAGCTGCCCACCTACTTGCAGCCTCTGCAAGCTCCTTTTCTGACAAGCGGCTACTTTTGTCCAAGGCCTGGTGAGAAAAAAGAAACCCCAGAGTCAGTGGCAGAGAGCAGGTGGGGGCGGGGCTGGCACATGTCCTGGGGGGGTGGCATGTGTCCTGGGGGCATGCCATGTGTCCTGGGGGCTGCAGGAGCGTGGCGCCCGGTGGGGGACAGCGACGATGGTAGCCTACCGGGATTGTGCTGCCAGGGGCTGTGTGCTCCCCCCGCACTCCTCTTCCTCCGCCAGTGCCCAGAGTGTGGCTGTTAATGTAACAAACCTGCTGTACCTGGAATTGGGTGTGGAGAGGGGCAGCAAAACAGGACACAGCTGTGGGCAGCCTGAGGAAGTGCCACCGGCCTGCCCATAAAAAACAAGTCTCGAGTGAGAGACAGTGATATCTGCTGTTTCTAGGGACTTTCCTCTTTGTGAGACTTTGTTTGGATCCTGGGTGAGAGCCCAGAAGGTGAGAGGGTGTGTCAGAAGGAAGATAAATATATGTAATAACATTACACCAACATCAAATGCACTGAAATACACAGAGAAGCTTAAAGGGGCAGTTTTAAAGAACAAATACTTGCCAAACGTTACTGTTACAAAAACTAGCTTCTATATTAACAGTCTAAAAAATAAAAATAAAAGGAAATTTACAGCTGAAGGGACTCTGTGAAAGATACAAAAGGTCCAATTTTTCAGAGATAAAATGAGACTTTTCAAGGACAACCCATGAGCAATAAATTAAATGTAATGTACCAAATAATAGTTCAGAGTTGACATTGTATTCCCAATCTCCCGAACAGTTAAGAGCTCAGGAGCATCGAACTGGCTTGCATGCTCCTTCCCCTTATAGAGTATATATATAAGAATAATTTTATTATTTATACCCCACCCATCTGGCTGGGTTTCCCCAGCCACTCTTGGGCAGCTTTCTGCAAAATATAAAAACATTGCTGACTATGGTTAATGCCAGCAAGTTGCCTTCATAACCAGAATTTGAAACCAGTGTTTGAAGTTGGTTTCAAATTCACATTACGAGGGCAATCTTGGATAGCAAGATAAAGATGTAAAGCAAACCAATGAAGGGAAGGACAAGAGTACAGGAGACATGGGAGGGACCAGGCCTCCTGCATGATCCATCTACTTATCATGTTTAGGAGGCGGAGAACAGTACATTTTATTTATTTCAAAATTTATAAACTACATTTACAGAATGGCTGATTGAGGTAGAGAAATAAAATATAAAAGAAAATCAATAATAAAAACACTATTTAAAACATAAAAACCAGCAAAAATTAAAAAATGGCAGAGAGAAAGAGGGGGGAAAGAACTAACTGAGGAAGACTTGGAAGAAAAGAAATATTTTCAACAACTATTGAAATATTAAGCCTGCTTCATTTCATTTATGACTCACTTCCGATGAAACATCCTAAAGCAAAGGAACAATAAAAAACCATTTCAGCAATAAAAATAATTTCAAATCCAACAGACTTGGATAAAAATCTCCGCTTAAGAGGGTTTGTTGAGGCCCTCTCAATAAAGAATGCAGCAATCAGCTGGGTATAAAATGGGCAAGATTATATTTTAGCTATCCTAGTCCCAGGTTGTAGAGGACTTTTTGCCAACAACCACTGCAAAAGGATAGGACCAGGGAGAGAGCTTAATCAACCTTTTGAACATCTGCTAAGACCTGTGAAGGAATTCACCCTCCTTTAGCACAACCAACAAACTTACACCTTGAGAATGCACACTATAAGAGTTGTATAAATATGAACTTTAAAAGGCAAAAACAAATGCAGGTCTAATATTTGAAAAAATCTAAAACAAAGAGACCAGGATGTAATGGAGACTTCCTGCATTTAATTTACTATCTTTTACTATTGAAGTCTACTAATGAATTCACCTTTGAAGGTGGCCCTGCTGCTGTTCCTGAGGGAGAGACATCTCTTGACGTTTTCAAGGACTGAGAGGCGCTTTTCTCTTTACCTAATGGACAACAACGTAAGTGTTTTATTAGTCATATGAAGAAAAGCATTTGAAAATGAAACTGTTACACAGCTGCTTAATAGCAGTGGGTTCTGTTTGAGTTATATGGTGGATTATTAGACTGTCTGTCCTTCCTCTGTAAAAACCTGAAATGGACTTTTCTCCATCCAAGCCCACTTATCAGATATTGGGGTGGGGTGAGGACAGAACTTTGGACCTCCACAGACTTAAATCATCTAAAATACTGAAGACTTGTGTTGTTAATGTACATGATTGTTCCTTTATTTTTAAAATAAACGTACGGTAAATTAATATTTCTGAATCACCTTTTCACCAGCTGGGTAATACTAGACCCACTTTTGTGTGAGTAAGCCTTATTGAATTTGGTGAGACTTGCATCTGGGTAAATCAGCAGAGGAGTTTACTTTTAGGCATGCAAAGCAATTTCAATGTAAACCCAAAGCAAATGAAGGATCTCAAAATATCCCTTACGTGAGGCTTCCAGACTTTGAATGCTTTCCTGTGATCACCTCTTCAGCTATCAAGCGATTCTTTAATGCATTCCACTGCCTTTATAAATCACATGATCACACATAATAAAATACTAGCAAAATTGGTTGGTTCAATCTGCATAAACCCAAAACTTCCATGATGTATAGACATGTCCTTTTATCCTGTGCAGTTTTTGCACATGAGTCGGACAGACTTCACTCATACAATGGGACTTCATCTTCCTCGCCTTCCCACTGCACCAGCCCAAAATCTGTTCTAGAGAAAGGATGTCATATGCGATCTCTGCACCAGAAGAGGGGAGGGGAGGCAATTTGGGGCAGTTTCTCCTTGTGCTGACCACGCACCAGCCCAAAATTTGCTGAAAGGAGTTTGAGGAGCCTTTGTAATGATATAATGGGACGCAGGTGGCTCTGTGGGTTAAACCACAGAGCCTAGGACTTGCTGACCAGAAGGTCGGTGGTTTGAATCCCTGCGATGGGGTGAGCTCCTGTCGCTCGGTCCCTGCTCCTGCCAACCTAGCAGTTCAAAAGCACGTCAAAGTGCAAGTAGATAAATAGGTACCGCTCCGGCGGAAAGGTAAATGGCATTTCCGTGCACTGCTCTCGTTCTCCAGAAGTGGCTTAGTCATGCTGGCCACATGACCCGGAAGCTGTCTGCAGACAAACGGCGGCTCCCTCAGCCTATAGAGTGAGATGAGCGCCGCAACCCCAGAGTCGGTCACGACTGGACCTAATGGTCAGGGGTCCCTTTACCTTTAATACATGGCAACTGCAGAAGAAAGGTGGAACTGGGCAAAAATCAACTCCTGCCTTCTTTTGGACTCATAGAAACTTGTGGATCAAAGAGCCTTCTCAAAAAGTGCAGGTCTGCAACTAACTACAAACCTTAGAGCGAGGAGCTGAATTCCCTCAAGCGCTTAGCATTGCGACCTTGTATATAGGGGAAGTCAGTGCCAGCTCACTAATGTCAGTTTCCATCCATCCTCTATTACCTTGTTGAGAAATATTTCTTTTAGGTAAAGATGACATACTTCTGCTATGCTGGGACTGGTGGTAGGCATAGGCTTTGCTTCTGTCGGGAGAGTAACTTCTGCTGCTGATGCTGGACCCAGATCTGCTGTGGGGGGAATCCCTTCGGCTGACCGGTGATTCCCTGAAGTAAGGAGAATCTCTCTTATGCGGGGATCGATCTCTCGCATAGTGAGGATAGACGGGTTTCCGGCGCATGCCGTCTCTCAGGTCCCTTTCAAAGTCCCATAAGAAGAAATTAAAATTACTTAATAAATGTCAAAATTCTAGGAGCACATAACTAAATATCCGAAGCAAGTACCCATCTTCTATTGAATCGTTCCTCCGAGACAAATCAGTTTATTAATAATAATAATAAATTTTATTTATACCCAGCCCTCCCCAGCCAAGACCAGGCTCAGGGCGGCTAACACCAGATATAAAACAATTGATTAAGATACAACTTAAAAACAAGATGAAAATACAACATTAAAATGCAGCCTCATTTCAATAGAAACTCAAATCAAAAACTTTTTGGGGATGAAAACGTCAAATCTTCACCAAGGCCAACTATTCAGACTGGTCCTACATGGGACAGAAAAAAGCCAGGGAAGTCCCCAAATAGGAGTTCCATCACAGAAGGATAAAGGAAAGAGGGGGTGGGGATCAAGTTGATTCCAAGCCAAAGGCCAGGCGGAACAACTCTGTCTTACAGGCCCTGCGGAAAGAAATCAGATCCTGCAGGGCCCTGGTCTCATGAGACAGAGCGTTCCACCAGGCCGGAGCCAGCGTTGAAAAGGCCCTGGCCCTGGTTGAGGCTAATCTGACTTCCTTAGGGCCTGGGACCTCTAGGGTGTTGCTATATATGGACCTTAAGGTCCTCCACAGGGGATACCGGGAGAGGCGGTCCCGTAGGTACGAGGGTCCTAGGCCGTGAAGGGCTTTAAAGTATTTAGTATTATCCGAGAAGGAAAGGCATCGGTGTAAAATACATGGTGATTGTTGCCAACTTGGATGGCGTTAGAAGAGGATTAGATACATTTGTGGGAGGTAGGGCTACCAATGGTGATTAGGAACGATGGCTATGCTCAACCTCCACTGTCAAGAGGCAGTGTGTCTCTGCGTATCAGTTGCTGGGGAAAACAAGTGGGGAGAATGTTGTTGCACTCAGGTCCGGCTTGTGGGCTTCCCCGTGGCATCTGGTTGGCCAGAACAGGATGGTGAGATCCAGCAGAGCTCTTCCTCCAACTTCCTCTAATGTCTTATACATCTCTACTTGTGATTTTCTTCAGCTGAAAATTATTCTCAGGGAGTCAAGAGGCTGATTCAAGTGCAGTGCACAGAGATGAGTGCAGAAGACAGGATAAACACTCTAAATGGGCAGCCTGAGACGTAAACACGCTGTATTGTTTTTAATATTCGGTTGGAAGCCGCCCAGAGTGGCTGGGGAAACCCAGCCACATGGGTGGGGTATAAATAATAAATTATTATTATTTGGTAGATCACATCTTCTCCATATTCACTTTACCTTTCTAAGGATAAATAGCAACCTTCATTGGATTGCAATGAATGCTGGTCCTATTCAGAGCAGACCGACTGAAATTAATGGACACAACTAACTTAGGTTTATTAATTTCAAAGCCAGGGACGTGGGTGGTGCTGTGGTCTAAGCCACTGAGCCTCTTGGGCTTGCCGATCGGAAGGTCGGCGGTTTGAATCCCCACAACCGAGTGAGTTCCTGTTGCTCTGTCCCAGCTCCTGCCAACCTAGCAGTTTGAAAGCGCACCAGTGCAAGTAGATAAATAGGTACCGCTGTGGCGGGAAGCTAAACGGTGTTTCCATGCGCTCTGGGACTTGTCACAGTGTTCCGTTGCACCAGAAGCAGTTTAGTCATGCGGGTTACATGTCCCGGAAAGCTGTCTGTGGACAAATACTGGATCCCTCAGCCTGAAGCGAGATGAGCACTGCAACCCCATAGTCACCTTTGACTGGACTTAACTGTCCGGGAGTCCTTTACCTTTTTACCTTTACCTTATTAATTTCAACAGGTCTATTCAGAGTAGAACGTAGCGGTATACAGCCCTTGATCTGTCATAGCTGCAAATCTTTCCTTTCAAACTCATGGATATTTTCACATTCTCAAGTTGAAATAGACATTCATCTTCTCATATGGCTAAACTGACAACATCCAAAGGGAGATCAACATTTAGCATAGGTTGGTGTAGCCTTGTTGGTTTCCAATAGGGCAGTCTAATGTATCCCTCCTAGAAATAAGGTACCTTGAGAAGAAACATGAAATTTTCATATCTTATAAGCTATAACTCTCACCATCCCTAAGCTAGCAGAACCAGTGGTCAGGGATGATGGCAGCTATAGTTCAACAACAGCTGGAGACCCAAGTTTGGGAAACATTGTTTGGATTGAGGATCATTAAAAAAAGATTATGAAAACAAAATTCCATCAAAAGATCCAACAGCCAAAAGTTGGGGTGTACTTGGGCAATAACTCAAGCGTACCGGAAAAAAACTGCATTAAAAACTAGAGTCAAGTTTCAAACCGTGAAGACTCACATAAAGTTTAGAAGTGTGGAAACCAACACCAACTAGATCTAGATTAGGAATGTCCATGGACCAGCCAGGAAATACATTCAAGTGACCTGAAACTTTTTCACATCTTCACTGGGCTTTTACAGCCGTTATATTGCCATGCAATAAAAGGGAGATATTTAAAGCAAACTGAAACATGGGTTATTTTATTGCTTTACTTCAGTCTCTTTGTAAGTTTGTGCTTTAAGTGTATGATCCACAGAGAGCCACATGGAGATGCAGCAGTTAAATTAATGGTAAATGGGGGGAAAGAGCCCTCTAGTGTACACTTTGCAGAGCGCCTTCAATGCTGAATGCAAGCATTAGGCTCTTGGGAGGAATGCAATGAACAGTCTGCACCACTAATACAAAAATAACTGTGCCAGTATCTATCAATTTCAGTTTCAGGTATGCATGCACTTCCCAATGTGCTCTAAAGGACCTGAAAGCCTGGTCACTATTTTGTGACATTTTGGTTGCATCCAATGGTTGTATTCTCTTGCTGCCAAGATAGCGGTAGGGAGACAAAGTGAAGTCTCCTCCCATCCGTCCATTTTCTGCCAACATCCTGCTGTCCCTTGCTCATAGGAGCATTTTCTTCACATTTCCACGCCTTATCGCTTCTGTCTTTTGTCTTCACCTCCTTAGAATCTTGGTTTTATTTCCTACTGAACTAATTTCTCACTTTCCTCAAGAGGAAATTGCCTTCCACACCAGTCTGTTTCATTCTCTCACAAGAGTTATAAGGTGTCCGATGAGAGCCATATGCGTTATCTCAGATACCACAAACACCTCTTAGCATATGACAAATCTTGGTTGGCAAATAAACAACAACAAAAATGGTTAAAGGGGCAAGCATCAATTAGCAAAGGAAGCTTGGCATTAAAAAAAGGCAACTAAGCTCTTGGAGCAAATAGTTTGGACCTAGGTTTCAGAACATCAATAAACTCATTTTATGACAAAGCTCAAGCCCTCGTCACATGCTTGCTCTAATAAGTAAAGCAGAATAGAATGCCAGCAAGCTGGCCTAAGCAGAATCAAGACAAGACAAACGATGGTCCCACTTTCTAGGAAGCAACTTCCACTGTGTTCAAATAGGACCTACTTCTGAGTAAACACACTTGGGACTGCATTTTAAGTTACTGGCAGGGTGGGAATAGCTTTACTTAGATGTTCAGCATTCCCTTAGCTGCTTAAACTTACAGGCTTGTAGTGCTGAATGTGTTGTTCTTTCTCTCATTCCACAAAGAGGGTTTGTGTTTCCCAGAGCCAATGCTCTGGAAGCAGTGACAGTCTCTTTAAAGAAGTCACTTGGATCGCCAAATGTTTGCTCACTCTCTTGTTTTTACAGCTGCTGATGGGGCAGCGAAGAAAACGATCCCTTTTGTGCTACTTTTAAATGAACTGCATTAAAACATTCTACATTAACAAGGTTTTTTTTTTGTTATGAAGCACTTAATGTAGCAGCATGCCAAATTCTAAATAAAAGCACCTAATAGAATCTAATATTCTCTCTCCCCCCCTAAAAAAACTTCCAGTGTGAATTTCAACTTTGCAGATATGTCCATCTTTAGGATTGCAAAAATGAGTCAACCATGGAATAGGAATACTAAACAATATGCCTATTTCTTCAGTTCTAGCCTTCAAACATAAAAATACTATTAGTGGCCTTGGATTAATAAAAAGCAGAATTCATATCTTGTACTGTTAATATCAATATTAAATGGCTTCTCACCAGCTAAACACTACCAAAATAAAATCTATATAAACTAGCTCTTTGCCTAAAAACAGAACTGCTTTTGGAGTCTTTAAACCACATCAAGTAATCCAGAAAACACAAAAAGAGGAGAAGTAACTGCTTATAGCCTCTTACTCCATTGCTAACAAAGCAAGCCTTCATGCAAACACATCTTTTAGGAGCAAGGTCATGGAATAGACCCAGGGAATGCATCCAGACATTGTGACAGTATGTGAAAGATGGAAAGGAAGCGCTGGTTTCCTTAAGCACCAAAACCATTTTTGGCATTCACGTATGCAACACACACAAAAAAACTCCTTTCTCTCAAAAGGTTTTAGACGTAAAAACACTTCTCCAAGGCTTGTTAAAACTGTTCATCTGATGAGAGAGCAGGCCAATCCGCATGCCAATAAATCACACAATGGCATTTATTAGCCACCCTTTCCCTGAAGATCCTAATCAGCTCCATCCCAATTTCTCCCTGCTAAGAGCATACAGTACTGTGCTATTACAGAAGTAAATAAAATGCACCTGGAATGAGTGACCCTCATCTGAACTCATGATGTGTTGGCGAGGGGGGGGGAGGAGAGATTTTCCTTACGACTGAGAAATATAGTAGTCGAAACTGAGGAAGCTTCACTGTTCACATGAAGCAGCAGGAATGCATCAGGTTTATGGAATCTTAAGTGTAACTTCACAGTCACTGATTCAAAGTTGGTTTGTATTTATTGATTTGATCCTGTTATCAAGGGAAGCTCAAATGTAATATTTATTCTGTTTGGCCATTGAAGGTCACTACTGCACTTCAAACAATGTCTCTACCATTTGATCCAGTTTTAAGTTAGAAAAGAGAAAGATTTAAAGTGCATGCCATTTTTTTCTTTAAACACTCAAGTCTATGACATTTAATGAAATGGTAGGTTTTAGGAAATAGATAATGATGTTAAGTCCTTAAAGTTTTGATCACCTGTAAGTCCACAAGGCAGAAAAGCAAACGGGGTATCACTGAAGGAATGGACATTGGATTAAGTCCAAGAGGGTAGTCTATCCAATATAGTCATGGATACAATTATATCTGGAATGAACTTAGAAGCAAACCAAATCCCCCCACCAATGCAGTTTCTTACAACTAATTTATTCAGATAAGCAATAAAACCTATTAAATGTTTGTCAGATTGTTAAATTTCAATACTGCACTCATCCAAAGATCAAAAGGCAGTTTATAATATAAAAATACCAAAATACATAACATTAACAAACGAAAGCAATACTCCCTACAGTTTAACAGGCCATGTTTACAAATGAAATGATGCTTAATGTCACTTCAGGGTAATTCTAATTAATTCATACCTCTCATACAATTTCAAAATACAATTTCAACGTAAATGTCAAAAATCTGTAACATTCTAATGAAAATACATGAAACAAAATCAGGAATCAAAGGTAGCTGGGGAAAATGTTTATATACCAAGAAAGACCACAACATTCTACAGATGTGGAAGCAATAGAAAACTTTTACCATTTTTTTTAGATTGAAGTAATTAGGAAGGCAGATGAAAGCAGAAATTCGAATTAAACGCTACTGTTATTCTACTGGGAAACCTAAGAGAGAGGGCTTTGAAAAGAAAGAACTATGGTGACAGAAAGAATATACTGGTGGCAGCAATAATTTTAATTCCAAATATGGGGCGGTGGGGACGAACGACAGAAGGCACCACCTATGAAAGAAAGGAAACAAGCTAACCAGCACAGGATTCTAATGAAGAAGGACAGCTTGGCATAAGTTTATTAATTATCTGCATAGTAAAACAATATACAAATACTGGTAAAGCTGTTGTGGAGATACTAAAATTGGACACAGAATGAAAAATATTACTATTACTTTAGAAATCAAAGAGCAGTTTTCATTTAAACACCAATAACTGTTAATATTCTCTAGAATATGTACAATAAATGTTTTTGTTTCTTCTTTTGAGTAAATAGTTCATTTTTTCTGTTTTTTTAAAGCATGATCATGAGCAATGAATGTTTGTTGTACAGAATGTTCTTCTTATTTAAAATATATATGATATTGATGCATTTTAGTAAAATTATGATCGATATATTTCTTCCTTAATTTTTCAGCAATCCTAACAGCATGCATTTCAACATGGGGCTCACAGGCAGCCACTTCTACCTACCCTCGTGTTATAAAGCATTGTAGACACACACATTGATGCAGATACTTATATTAAAACTGACAGAACAGAACTGCCCCTCTGTCAGTCAACCACTGCCCTCCACAGGTTGAAGTCTGAACTACAAACCAAACACACTTGGACGATCTGCAGATAAAAATAGCTGAAATCTCTTGGCAAGCTATGAAAACAAAGTGAAGTTTTATCTACGCACAGATTTGATCTAAGCTGTGGCCCTCTCACGGTTGTTCAACTGCACTTCCTGCCCAATGGCCAAGAGCAACTCTGCCAAGTGCTTTGCTGAAATCCAGATAAATTACATCCACAGCACTCCAATAATCCACTGAGCTAGGAACCCAATAAAATAAGTCCTGGCAGGATTTATTCTTAACAAATTCATGCTGCCATCAACTAATCACTACACTGGGATCAAAATGCTTACAAACTGATTTGTAATTTATTCTAGTATCTTTGGACTTGGAAGTCAATGGTTAGTTTAAGGTAAAGGGACCCCTGACCATTAGGTCCAGTTGTGGCCGACTCTGGGGTTGCGGCGTTCATCTCGCTTTACTGGCCGAGGGAGCCGGCGTACAGCTTCCAGGTCATGTGGCCAGCATGACTAAGCCACTTCTGGCAAACCAGAGCAGCACATGGTAATGCCGTTTACCTTCCCGCCAGAGGAAGGTATTTATCTACTTGCACTTTGACGTGCTTTCGAATTGCTAGGTTGGCAGGAGCAGGGACCGTGCAACGGGAGCTCACCCCGTCGCGGGGATTCGAACTACTGACCTTCTGATCAGCAAGTCCTAGGCTCTGTTGTTTAACCCACAGCGCCACCTGCGTCCCCAATGATTAGTTACCCATTGTCAAAGATGTCTCAAGGACAATAGACAGCACTCCCGAGAGTACACCTGCACATTTCACTAGAATAATAGAACTGTAGAGTTGGAAAGGACCCTGGGGAGCATCTAGCTTAACCCTCTGCAATGCAGGGATATGTAGTCGTCCCATATAGGGATCGAACCTGCAACTCTGTCATTATCAGCACCACGCTCTAAGCAACTGGGAGCCCTAGAACTTGAACTCATTTAAGGCAGATAGGTAGGTATTACCTGACCAACCTTGAACTACAATCCTGATTTCTCACCAGTTCACACCGACTTATAGGAGATCCCTCTTTCTCTTTGTACCTGTTAACATTTCATCATCCTTACACAAGAGCAGCTTGCTGGATCAGGCCAATGGCCCATCTAGCCCAGCATTCATTTCTCAAGAAGGGCCAACCATATCCCTGTGGGAAGCCTGCAAGAATTCCTGTGGCTTCCAGCAATGGATAATCATATAATGCCATTCCAATAATAGCGTTACTGAGCGGAAGAACTACCGTTTCCTTCCTCTCCCTTTGAACATACCTCTAAAACACATTTTAATGCTTTTACCAACTCTTGCAGCCATAGCTTGCGTGCATAGCTTTCAGAATCAAGGTTCCAGGCAGCATAAGAGCTTATGCATTCGTAGGTCCTAGAGCCCGATGAATTAGGTGACACGGTAGGTAGGTATTTTACCATGCCATGGCACCCAGGCCATATTGCACCAAACCGGGGGAGGGAGTGTTCAATCTTATCTGGTCCTCCCCATCATCCGCTATGCAGAGTCCAATCAAGTACAGTAGCAACAAGAGCAATAAAGTTATTTCCCCCATCAGATTAAAAGTTTCCATCCTATCCAAACAAACATTGGATTCAGGTCCCGGAAAGCTCTGTGGCTGGGAAGCAAATATCAAAAATAGCTCTCACTACTGATGCATGGCACACCAACAATCAAAATAATAAAAAAATACTATCAAAGACACAGAAACATGGGTAGAATTCAAGGTATTTAGCAGTAAAGATGGTTCAGGAACTTATAGCGTCATTGCAGAACAGTATGAACACTACCACCCTTACTTTAAAGTGCCAATGAGATAGATAGTAGATAGTAGATAGGTAGATAGGTAGATAGGTAGATAGGTAGATAGGTAGATAGATAGATATTTGTAGACCTGGCATTCAAATTGCTATGCACAAATTGATCTTTAATATCAACAAAATAATTCTAAAAAATTCAGGAGTGCATGCAATTAAAACACAATTATTTCATGTTAAAAACACAGTTACCTATAATCAGGCTGACGACTAGCAGGATGGTCGTCCCTTTGCCATCTATATCCAGGATCATCCTATAAAAGTGAAATTGGACAATGCAAAATTGAGTATAATGCAAGATACAGTTTGAAGAATTAAAACTTCATCAGTCTTCTACCTTACCTTAAACACAATCCACATAGTAGTAGGGCTCTCAATTTCACCACACCTCTCACAAATATTTGGAGCAGTTCTTTGCTGAGAATCTTTCTCAACAATATATAAAACACTATAGGTCTTTCACAGACACTGAAGTTGCTAAGTATTATGAAACCAAAATTATTTCCCCCAAAGGGGCAAGGAGCGGAATGCACTGATCAAATGTTAAATCCAGAGATTAGATCTTAATTTGCATGTTGCTGATGAGCTTGTTTCATTAGGCACACAGAATGATAGACTGATGAGACCGAGACAATACTTCTACAACAGTAATAGCCATCCTCCAAACAAGGTGCCCTGGAACTATGAAAATCCATTATAGAAATGAGCAAAAAGGAGGCTAGATTTGATGCACCATTTTAAAGGTATCCTAGTGTGTTACATTTTAGGAAATAGAATCAAAGCATTGTGGTTGCTTTCCTATTGTGATTACATAACAAGTTTCATGGTGGTTGAGGTGCAAATTCAGGTACCATTTCTTTGAGCAGGTTAATTTAAGATAGAAGCCCAAAAAACCCATCAGGAGCATACAATTTCCAGCCAGGGGCAAAAATTTAACTTACCATTCTGTGTGGTGGTCCACTTCTTCTTTCGTGGGCAAAACCGCGGCCATCTCCGTAATCTCTATAGCCAACAGGAGCATGACTATATTCATATCTACTGTAGCTTCCTTCCCCAGGTCTCTCTGGAAGTGGTGGTTTCTTGTTCACAAAGTTGACTTCTCGAGCATAGTCTTCCTAAAAAGGTGAAATGGTGTTTTATTTCTAAGCCACTTCAGGGGAGTGAGAGCCCACCCAAGGCAACTCACAGGGATTTCCATTTTTTGTCTCTTCCTCACACGGGCATCTTAAGGCAGCCCTGTTCAGGGAAGTTTTTAATATGTAACGCTGTACTGTTTTTAACACTGATTGGGAGCCGCCCAGAGTGGCTGGGGAAACTCAGCCAGATGGGCGGGGTATAAATAATAAATTATTATTATTATTATTATTACTATACACACACACACACACACACACACACCTGATCAGGATAGAGTAGTTATGCCAAAATAGCCCAGTTTCTTCCACCATTCTATTAAGATTTTACCACTACTTAATTTACAGTTGCCTTCCCATATTTAGGGCAATGTCTAATTATATCTATCTGCTTGCACAACGGAAATCCACTGGGACTTCCAGTGTCACCTCTTCCCCCTTCTGCCTTCCCAATACCATCCAAAATCTACTCTAGAGGGGTGAAGGACTCTCCAGAGCAGAGCGGATTTTGAGGGCACGGGGGACATTGTGGGCAGATTTAGGAGAACCTCGCTGCTCATATGATACTGGAACTCATACCCTGAGATCTAAAATTACACACTTCCATTATGTTTCCTTTTCAATAATTTAATGTTACTATATACTTGTTCTGTTTGTTTGCTTGTTTAGTTTACTGCCCTTCCTCCGAAGATAAAACAGATAATAAAACAAAATCAAATCAATTACCACCACACATTTAAAAGACCACAGAAGGTTAATCAGTCAAAGGCCTGGTTATACAGAAATGTTTTCGCTTGGTGCCTAAAGGTATTTAATGAAGGCATCAGGCCTCCCTCCCTGGGGAGAGGATTCCACAAACAGGGAGCCACCACAGGAAAGGCTCGTTCTTGTCTTGCCACCCTCCAGACCTTGCATGGGGGAAGTACACAAAGAAGGACTTCAGATGATGATTGCAAGGTTTGAGTTGGTTCATATAGGGAGAGGCAGTCCTTGAAGTATTGCGATCCTGATACACTAAAGGTTTTGTAAGTCAAAACCAGCACTTTGAATTGGGCCCGGAAACCGACTGGCAGCCAGTGCAGTGGAGCCAGGTTCAATATAATATGTTCCAACTGACTTGCCCCAATTAGCAGCCCGGTCACCAAATTCTGCACCAGCTGAAGTTTCCAAACAGTCTTAAGAGGCAGCCCTATATATAACACATTGCAGTAATCTAATCTAGAGGTTACAAGAGCACAGACCACAGAAGTTAAAGTTATTCCTGTCCAGATAGGGGTGCAGATGGCTCACCAGCTGAAGCTGATGGAAGGCACTTCATCCTTTAGAACTGTTCTTCTAAAAGAAGTGCAAAATTCGGCAAACTAATAAAATATATTGGGGTTGGATCCAGAATTGTGCTCAGCGAGATTATGCTTGCAGTAGAGGAAGCAGGCAGAGAGAAAACTATCATAAATTTATTTTCCCCTCTGCAAAGTCCTGAAAACCTCCTCTCTTGAACACTGTGCAAAGTAGGCTAATACATGAAAATGCTCTCCCCATCTTTCATTCAGAGGTGAGCATCTGCATGATTCTAATTCCCTCTGCAAACTGAAGAGCTCTTACAGTTTTCAGAGGAGGAAATCTGGACCCAATCCTTTGGTAATACACATTTTACATTTTTACTGTGAATGATTTTTCTAAGCTTTTCAAAACTAGTATAACTTCTGCCTTAAAGGAAGTTGGGGAATAGAAATAAAAAAACACATGACATCTAATTTTTATATTGATAGCAAAGATAGATATCCATCCACTATTCTGTGTATGGAAAATATTCAGGAATACATAAAGTTGAACTTAGCGATAATTATGTGCATTTCTTGGACAGTGGAACCTTGGTTCCAGAACGGCTTAGTTGCAGAACAAATCAGCTCCTGAAGTGTTGCGGTTTGCGAATGTTTTTAGGAAGCCTAACGTCCGATACAACTTCCGCTTGAGTGCAGGAACCTCCTGCAGCCAAGTGGAAGCCGTGCCTTGGTTTTCGAACAGTTTTGGGAGTCGAATGGACTCCTGGAATGGATTAAGTTCGAGAACCAAGGTAACACTGTATTGGAAACATAAAACCATTTAAAGGACCAAAAGCAGATCCCTCAAAATCACTTAATAATTATTGAAATGCACTGACCCTTAGCTACAAAATGCTTCTGTAAACTATTACTGTCATCATAGAATGAGTAATTGTTAGTCAAAGAGCAGTTCTGCCAATTTTTGCATCCTACTGCTGCTTAGCTATTAAAACAGAAAAAACTGACTGACTAGATATATGTCGTTCAATCTCATCCAATCTCCAGCCCGTTGAAAATGAGAAGAGCACTCTGACTCCTGTAAAAGGAATTAAGAAGCATCACAAACCAGAAGAAAATTCAGTGAGTTTGTATTTTGACCTTTACTTCCTTTGATTTATTTTCCCCTAATGTGTTGCAGTTATATAGTCTCCACAAAATTCCCACGCCAGCTACTGCTGATGGGGCAGCTTCTCTGCCCTTGGGGGCTCTCAGGAATTAGTCTCACTACAGGATCCTTAAGCTTATGTACCCTCCCCTATGTATAAGAAGGAGGGAGAGACTGAAGCCAGAAGCCGCTCTTCCAGGTTTCTGAAGCCTTTCTACGCAGCTCACCCCTGGCCAAGTGTCACAACATGCAGATATATTGGATAGTTGCAGAGGAACCTTAGTGCCCAGTTCTCCCAGAGTAACGCACCTGACAAAGAAGAGTGCTCAAATGGTAGTTACCAGTTTGTCTTGGTAACGACAAATAGTGCCATATGTGAAAGCCAGAAAAAAAGGTGCACAAAAGTAAAACCATCAAGATTTACCAAAAGCCACCTTAAAAACTTAAAAAGAATGACAACCTAGTACTAATACCTGGTGTTCTACGCTGTCAAATACTTTCGTCAAACACTGTAAATGAAAAAAATTAGAAAGTTTTCTTTTTAAAAAATCCCATTTGTTATCACTAAGGCTTAAAGGAATTCGTATATTTAGGATATTTCTATACCACGTTTTCAACAACAGTTCTCAAAATGGGAATTCTGGGAATTATACCATATAAACAATGATAAAACAGGAAATTGAAGCAACATGTAAATAACTAAATGATTTGAGAGGCATGGGGAACTGAAATGATAATGTAAGCACCAGGCAAACCTTCCTGTAGATGGAATTACGAAGGCAGGGTGCCACAACCAAGAGGTCTTACATCAAATGTTCTTGAACACGGACATCTATAGATGACCTCATGGCATGGACAGATGTGAGAACAGACACTCCTTTGTTCGGCTAGATAAGCCATGTAGGGCGTTAAAAAGGAAGCACCACCACTTTGAATTGTCATTGGAAATGGGCTGGGATTTGCTTAACAATGCCCTTTTTAATTTAATATTAATTTCTTCATAGAAGAAATTCATACTGAACAGTTTTGACATTTTATTCAAGTCTAAGATATAGTATGTCAAAACTGTATCTTGACTAGGGGTAAAACATGCAAATATTATAAATTTCCATTGCTGCTCCGATTTTTCTCCCTATAAAGGCTAATTCTGATATTACTTTTTTTCTACACAGATAAAGATGTAACTGGGGAGGCAAGTGAGGTCTAAAGGCAGGAGTCTTTGAACCATCCAAATGTTCAAGTCTGCCATATAAAACTGGCACGGTTCCTAAACCATCAAACAGGTGTTTTTTTTAATCAGACTTGTATTCTTACCTAACCTTTGCATCTAAGATATTCTATGTTTTGCTCCCTTGCGTTACATAGCCATTTTACATTTAAGGCATCAGAGAAAACCAACTCAGAAATGGATTGGGTAGTACTGAACTATTTCAGAACTCTATTGATCCAATATGAGTTCTGCAGCTATGCTAGGCTGTATTTGTCCTCAGGACAGGACTGGTAAAAGCCCTCTGCTTCTGGAAAGGATTTGAGCCTGGGGAGCAAAAGTACTCATGAGTCATTTCATGGAAATCAGTGGGATTTATTTCTGAATGGACTTGCCGAGGATTGGGATGCAAATGTGATTTTAATTGGCTTTTTGAAGAGCCAATATCTACTCTCTGAATTCTTCAATCCAATATAATAACCATGTTTTCAAAGAGAAAGATAATATTGATTTTGTAAACTGCTTACAGGATTTCAAGTGGTATATAAATTTTGTTAAATAAAAATTGCTTTATGTTTAAGTTTTTACAACTCCCAATAATTCTCTCTCTCTCTCTCTCTCTCTCTCTCTCTCACACACACACACACACACACACACACACACACAACACAGATATATATAAACTTTGCAATGTTGCCTTTTACTGTCTCAACTGTAAACTTCTCAGTTCACATCCTTTCTTCCAGGTTACAAACGTATCATTAAAAAAAATGGGGTGTGAAGAAAGATTCACAGACCAGCAAATAGCGAGAGGACCTATGCGCAAAGAACGCATGGCTATTATTAGGTGGGAGCTTCACTACCATTTGAAAGTCTCACAATGCCCAACACGGGTATTTGGGAACGAACTTAACAAAAACTCTGTTCTTTGCAATTTAACAAAATCTAGCCACATTTTTAGCACTTTGCCCCCAAAACAATTCATTTCTGCCTACTCTTAACATTCACTTTGCCCCCAAAACAATTCATTTCTGCCTACTCTTAACATCCACCAAAAGGTAGACTGAGGTAGAGGAGGTAAAGTATTCCCCAGTGATCCAATACAGCCCAATAAAGGACATTTTACCTAAAACCTAGCGTCCCCATGTGGTACCCTCAGCCACCTCCTTTGGCGCCTTTCTTTCTTTCTGTGGTGGGGGATTGGCTGCCTCCTGTTTTTGATGGCAAGTTGTGAGAAATAAAAGTCTAAATAAATATTTTGTGGTGCTCGCGACAGTTTCTAAGATTTCCAAATGTGTCCCTGAGCCCTAAAAGGGGGCTCCTGCATTAAATTAACCCATGACTACTGAATTTCCAAACATATGGGATAAATTTACACTGAACTGCCATCAAGATTCCTATTCCAATTTTCATAACATCAATCTATATAACCCTGCTTGAGTTTGACTTGCATCCCCTGGTTACATGTTCGTTGTCTTTAATAGAAATCCTCACTGTATAGTCCAAGATAAAAGATTTGGGAAAAGAAAACGATAAAGACAAAGAACTATGAGCAGGAAATACTTAATGCAGATTAATGGCACTATACTTACATCAGGACGTGGAGGAAGCCGCTCTCGCGGAAGTCTATCATAATCATATCGTTCATCAGACCACACATCATCTCTTCTGTATGCCACTAAAGATAAAGATTTTATTACCTAAAGTCAAAACTTGGGTGATGGTACAAGTACCTGAATACATCTTCTACTTTTCATGAGATACATTGTCCTATACTTGGAAAACCCAAGATTCTAATACACCAAGTTGACACTTATTTATCTGGAACCGTCAAGTGATTTCAATAAAACTTTCCCAATGCCATTAGCATTCTTTTTAATCATTTGCCTGTAAATATTCAACAGTATACCTCAAGGATCCTTTTTTGACATGATTTGCTGGTGCAGAATTTTAGGACAATTTATATATTTGAAATATGCCAATTTTTCATTTTACACATAATTAACTCAAAGCTTCTTTGGCCTGGTTTGCATAGCACATTAAATTATAGCTTAAAACAAACTAAGATTTAATGTGAACGAGCAGAGTGCTAGTGTATGCTCCTCAAAAGTTCTCACACAGCTCCTCTCCTGCTGCTGCTATAGATGAAAACAAGCCAAATTCTGGCTTGGGGGTTACTTCCCCTAAGAAGCTATACTTTGGTTTGTTTCCTCCTTGGTGCAGCAGTGGCAAAGCTTAAGACTTGTTGAACTCCACTAAAAGTGTCATGAGGCAAGGAGGGAGCTTGTAAAAATAAAGCCTGCTCACATACTGTAATACTAAAGCATGGTCTGCTATTCGCACAAGCCATAATTTTCTCATTTATGACATAAATGCAAACTAGGATTTGTCAAAGGTGTGAAAGATGAGGGCATGCAATTATCTGTGCCTTGGAGAACTGATAATAATCCTTGGGGCATATCCGCATTTTCCTGCAATGTGACTAATCAGTAGGCTCTCATGGAACAAGTGGGCCGGTTTTAATTTATAGATAGCTAAATTAAATTGGTCTCACCAAATGTAACTAGAAAAGTTGACACGCCACAACCTCCGTATTTAAATTATTACCTGCTATTCAGTCTAGGTGAGATAAACTCCCAAGGGTCAAATAACTTTACCTGTTTTAAAAGTGTTATTATACACTACACAAGGCTTGTTCATTTTCTCTGCAATGACTCAATTACCTTTTACTAAATTTACCTTTACCTTTTGATAAGCTGTCAGTAGGCTTTAAACCCACTCTTAAGCTGTCCTGTAGAACTACTGTTGTACCTGTTGTATGCATTCTTGTAGTAAAACACTGAATCAAAGCTCACTGACTGAACTTGCAGCCTTGTGGCTAGTCCAAATCTAGCTGTATTGTCCAGGTTGGCACTACCATATGGGAAAAGAGAGAAGACGGCATGAAAAAGCCAAACAATTATTTAGGTTTGTTCATTATTATGGCTTATCTCATCTTAATTTCAATGCTTACAGTGAAATTCTAATATTACATTTTCAATTGTGTCCACTGCTCTTCTATTTCAGCACACATAGGTGATTTAAATAATTTCAGAACATCGTACAGGCAATTCCCCACTTGTGCATGTTTCCGCTGACACACATGTCAAAAGGGAACAGGGAGAGCAGAACAGGGGAATCCTAGCTTGCAATGTCCCAGTCATGCACACCTAGAACAGAACCCCCATGCAAATGAGACATTGTCCTGTAATTACATAGGTTTTATTCAAAGTATCTGTGAGAAGAGTTCTCAGTCCCTGCTAAAGAAAGGCAAGAGGAAGTCAGTTTTCACTCACTTATCTTTTAAACTAAAGGCTTTCTCCCAAGGGCTTGGGGTCTTCTAAAACATGTGGGTGGTTCACAAGAGAGGCAGAACTGGTTAAAATTACCTCCTTCCTGTGAGTAGATGCCCCAACTGGATCATAGGCCCTTGAATTCACAGAAGGACTTCTTCCTTCCATGGATTCACCTTCGTTTGAATCTAGCCACATAAACTTTGTGACCTGGTGCACATAATAATTTATGTAATAATTAAAGCACATCTGTTTCCAATGACCAAATACTACATACATCTGACATGTAAGATGATTGATTGGGTAAATAGATATTATATTCACTTGAAAATTCTAAGTGACCTATTGTGTCATTGTATTTACTAAGGTTGTTACATATTTTACACAGAAGAGCAGCATTTAACTCATTTTTTGATGGCTAATATATCAATTCAGTTAACAGATGAGAGCAAATATGTTTATGTTTGGGTATGATTTAATTTTACCTAACACATTTTTAAGAGGCCGTGGGTTGAATCCAATGCTATCTGTGTGCCAGTAGAATGGATTTCCATTGACATAACAGAACTTCCCCTTCCTCTTCTCCCCTGCACCCCCAGAGTCTGTCCAGGATGGTCCCCAACTCTTCACTTAACATTAGCAGAACTTTAAAAAATCTGAAACACACCACAATTATAGCTTTTATTTTTTTCAAAAAAAATTTTGCCCACTGTGTAAAATAAAGAGCTTTGTTATCAGAACTAATTTTAGTTCAACAGACATAACATTTGAAATCACTTACTTTTGTTCTTTCTTCAACAGTGTTTTAAATCCCAATAAATTCGTTCCTGTGTATTTTAAAAACAAATGTAAAGGGGGAATGAATCTATCTCAATTAAAAGAAAAATAACATTAAGTTGGGGCAAAAGAACTATGAACATGAAGACAGTTGTGCAAGGGGACTCTTCCACTCTCCCTTACCTTCTACAATACTTCTGAAAAGCTACTACTGACAGTCAGGAGACAGAACCCTCCAGTACCAGTAGGGATATCTTTTCTAATATGGTGCCTGCTTCAGCACATATATACCATTTAGAACCAAGATTTGGTTCTAAAATCTGAACAAGCCAAAAAAGCAATTTCATTTCCAGAATTCCTCAAAAGTAATTCTGTACGGTCATCTATCTCTTGGAGTCAGTTTCCAGGAATTTGAGGAGCTGCTGATGGGGGTGGGTGGACGATAACACTGATTACCCCATGCAGGAAAAGAAGACATCTGAGGAGCAGAGCCTTTTGGTCAGTAGTATTACTCCCCTAACAGTAACATGACACATATAAAAATGTGATGGTTGCGTCAAGAAAAGCTCCAAGAGAATAGGCTCGTACAAGGGCAAGGAGGCTGAGGTATGCAGGAAAGGGGTGAGGAGGCTGAGGTATGCAGGTATGTGTGTCTCACACACACAAAGCGGAAGCCAAAGGCTGGAAGCCAGTATGCTGGCTCCATGAAGCAGAGTATCATGAGAAGTTAATGCATGCATGTTCATCTACTGTATTTTACCCCTGGTTCCTGATCTGTGTGTGGATTCCCTTAGTTAGATGGGGCAAGGGCTTGTGGATGGTCCACATTTATTATCCAACACAAACAAGAAATTGTGTTTAATTTACAACAAGCGTGTTCAGTTTGCAGCAAGGCAGAAAAGGAGGAGGGTGGCAACTGGAAGCAACTTGGGCTCTGTTAAGAGTAACGCAGCTCTCCCCTCTTCCACTTCTGTTGTCGTATGCAAGGCACGTTTCATGTATTTTTCCTGGAAGCTGCCCAGAGTGGCTGGGGAAACCCAGCCAGATGGGCGGCTTATAAATTAAAAAAAATCATTACTATTATTGCAACTCTGCACAGACGCGACTGCAACAGAAGTTCACCGGGTGGAACATTTCTCAACCCTTCGACGTCTCATCGGAATTTCTAGGCGGCGGGTTCCTGTTAAAGAGACCCAGGAACGGAATCAGCAGCAAAGGGACTCAACGTGCAGCCGGCGTGTTTTTTAAAGACGTGCTGCTAGTAGACGTGTAGTACTGCGCCCCTGACACCACGTCTGAGTGAGGGACACGTGAATCCCCTCGCCCGCAGGCGGCTCCCGAAGTGCCACGCTGCCGCAAGAGGAAATCCCATTCCCCTCAGCGGGGCTTCCTTCCGAGGACACGTGCGCAGGGCTGCGACCGACTGGCTCAAGGCTATCACCTCAGCCGAACTGGCCCTTGTCTCCTGAGGCGATTTTAGCCCCGCCAGGCCAACGGACCGGGCGAAAACCGAAGGCATCATCCAGGAGTCGGAGTGAGCTCCCAGGGATCCCCAAGCGCCGGGCAACGCCGTTCTGCGCGTGCGCCTCCCCAAAAAGGAGTCCGGCCATGGGAAATTGGAGGGGGGGCTCCTTTTTTCTCTCTCCCGCTTACCCCCCACCCACCCTCCATAATCCCTTGTACTGTACCAACCAACTCACCCGCCGCCTGTCAAGACCGCCACAACACGGAGCTTGTCCCTAATCCACTTCCGGCGCGTTAGGTGACGTCACCGGAAACGCGCGTCCATTGCGCGTCCCTTCGTCGCCCGTCCCAAACCGAGAAGTTTACCCTAGAGAGCCCTGCCAATAGAACTCCCGCAATAGAGCTTTACAAAGAGGAGCGGCCATAGAGTTGCGGGAAAGGAGCGGCTGCCTCGCATAGGGCGGCGTTCAAAGGGGACCCGGAAACGAGGGTCCTTTAAAACGAATAGACTTTGGATGGCCGAGTCTGTCCGCTTCCCCCCCCCCGCCGCTACCCTAACAGGGAGTCTCGTGCTTATTACGTCATCAAAAAGGCGCCCATGCGTGAGGCGTCCTAGAGGGAGGGCGACGCTCGGGACCACAGGAGGGGGAGGCGGCTCCAGAGGAAGTGAGGGCGATGGTTTGGCCGGACTGAGCGGCTTCTCTGGGCTGCAGTGAGTCCCTCAGTTCCTACCTTCGGAGGTGTGCGGCGGCGTCCTTAACCCTTCGCATCCCCAGTGGGTGCTTCGGACCCTCCTGCTTCTGGGTTCACTTGGAGTAGAGACCAGGGGCCCCATCTCTTAAAAGCCCTTCCAGCGCAGTAGTCCTGCAAGAGCGCGTCACCCTCAAGTCTTCATTCCCATCGAAATCCCTGCGAGGGACTTGACATCTGAGGAAGCAAGATCTAATCGAGCTGTCAATTCCACTTCGTGACAGCCTTGTGAAGTCTGCTGTCCAATGAAGCAGAGATTAATGAAGCCCGCCTATCGCTTCCAGGGGTAGGGTTCAGACTTTTAACTACTCACTGAAAACTGCTGAAATATGTAACAAAATCAAGCCAATCGACTTACCCATGATATTGCCAAACGGTACTGCTCGTAGCTTTGAATGGGCTTTGTTAACAGATCAGTTGCATACTATTTGTGGCACAAATGGGGGTGAATATTTACTTGCCGCATGCTCTCATGTCGTCTTCATGAAGCTGTGAAAAAGGTTCTGCTTGGTGGATGACATCCAATTTCCCACAGTGGTCACCCAGATGCCTATGGGAATCCAACCACAGAGCATAGGTGTAGTTTCCCAGCAACTAGTATTTAGAGGCATGCTCATAGCAATTTCGACTACTTTCATGAGTTTGTCTAATCCACTTTTAAAGCCAACTAAGTTGGTGACCATCAGCAATTTTAACAGCATAGCAATATGTTGTGTGCAGAAATATTTCCTTTCTACCACTCGGCTTCTTTGAACAACTCAAGGTTCTAGAACAGGGTAAGTCTCATACGTATAGGTCAAAACACAATCCCTCTTCAGGGTGGAGAGATTACAGTGATCATCTCCCTGCAATCTCTCCCCCACTCAGATGAAGCAGAGGCCATCACCTTTCCCAACAGAGTGTTAGGGAAACCAAGCTGCCCTACCAGGCCCCATCAAAAAGGGAGCAAAGGCAGGGTACAGAACACAATCTCCAATGTTGGCTGAGCTTTCTGATGTCCTCCAAGCAGTGACACTGGTGTCTATTCATTTCAGAAGATTCCATCCATGTCTTAATTTAGACTGCTGAGAACACTGCAAGTTGCCAACCATTGAACATTCCCTGTTGACTGGACAGGTTTGTGTTTTTTAAAAAAGTTTTTATATTGCCACTGCTGCTCATAAAGGCAGGAAAAAGAGGAGTTGCAGAGAATGCTGGACGCTGGTTTGTGTGGGTGGGTGTTTATGTTGCTGCCACCAATAAAAACAGGAGATTGATGGGCTGTTCAGAATGGATTGGTGCATCATTAGTTCCCCATCCCTGTTCTAGTATTATGGGAGGGAGAAAAATTTCCCTCTATCCACTTTCTTTATGCTCTTCATAATTTCATAAGCTTTCATCACATCCCCACCACTTGCCTTCTTTCTAAACTAAGAAGCCCAAATCTTTCCTCATAGCACCATGGTGAAAAGAATGAAAAACTGGTTTGTTGCCTTTCTGCTCCTAGATGTTACTGCAGCCAGAATTGTAGTTGGCTTGCTGGGGAGCGGGATTCTCACTTGGAGGTGTCTGGACAGGCTAGATGCCTATCTCCTGCCTCCTTTCCTGACCACTTTCTGGAATGATAGTTGGTCTGGGTGGTTAAGCATGTAAATATAAATTTTAAAAAATGAAGTCTTTGCTGTCCATAATTTTGTACATGACTATAGTTTATAAAAGGGTGTGTTAATTAGCTAAGTTAACTAATTTTTTCTTTTTTGGTCTCTAGAAAAAAATGAGTGGAGGGCTAGCACCAAGCAAAAGCACAGTTTACGTGTCCAACTTGCCCTTCTCTTTGACAAACAGTGACTTATACAGAGTAAGCACGAATACTTCGAAATTACGTATGAATTTTAAGTATGATGTATAAAGCCTTAGGCAGCTCAGGACTCCAGTACCTCAAGGACTGCCTCTCCCCATATGAACTGGCCTGGACCCTGTGATCTTCACCTGAAGCCCTTCTTTGTGTGCCTCCTCTGCAAGAGGTCCAGAGGGTGGCAACACGAGAACAAGGCTTTTCTGCAGTGGTTCCCCATCTGTGGAATGCTCTCCCCAAGGATGCTTGCCTGGCTCCTTCATTACATATCTTTAGGCATTTCTCTATAATGAGGCCTTTGGCCAATTAAACAATCTGTGGCATTTTAAATGTGTTTGTGGGAGGGGGGTTATTGATTCGTTTTTGTTTTTCATGTATTTTGTCTTTGCATTTTGTATTTTTATGTTGCAAGCCACCCTGTGGATCTTTGGATGAAGGGTGGTATAGAGATTTAATAAATAAATATCAAGTTTTAGCTACTTTGTGCATAGCCATAGCTTGCATATTACATTGTTTCTCTTGTCTTACAGAAAAACACTTATTTGCATTCTTGTTACACATTGCCTTACCTAAACAGCTAAAATCCCTTTTTATATCTTTTTTCAGATTTTTTCCAAATATGGCAAAGTGGTTAAGTGAGTATAGATTTGACATATATTGCATATTTTTAATTATGGTTTGTGACAATTAACATAGGGAGCTAGTTCACATGTAACATTTAGGGTAGATCGTTTAAAATTTACAAGCCAGCAGCATTATCTCTCAATGGGAATAGGAATTTATGCATTCATGAGCAATCTGATAATGATTTTTTTGTCCTGCTAGAGAAACATGAGCAGTTTTATTTCTCATCCAGACATATTTTAGATGGCTAGAATTCTTTTTTTTTTTTACATATGGAAACTGTGATCCTTCAAGTGGTGATAGTCCCTGACTCCCATTATCTCTGACCATTGGCTATGCTTGCTGGGGCTGATGGGAGTTCAACAACATCTGGGGGGGCCCACAGATTTCCTCTCCCTGCTTTAAAGCTTCAGCCAGCTAATACTATTGAAGGTGATCCTTCATATAACCTGGTCTCAAACCACTTAGGACTTCAATGATATATGAACTGTTAACAAGCTTTGTATTGTAATGATTGTTACATATAAAATGAGTTAAAGAGCAAATAATTCAAAAAGTGCAGTTTTATGCTGAGTGATATGTAAACACACTGTTCTTTTGTTCATATTAGTAACTTGCTTATGTTTCAGAGTGACAATTATGAAAGACAAAGACACACGAAAGAGCAAAGGGGTTGCTTTTATTTTGTTCTTGGATAAAGAATCAGCACAGAACTGTTCTCGGACGCTTAACAATAAACAAGTGAGTGACAACAGCATACATTGTTATGAGGAAGCTTTTGATTCATTCAGAAAACTTAAGGTTGTATTTGCTTTTCTTGCCACTTGCTTTTAGCTGTTTGGAAGAGTAATAAAAGCAAGTATTGCTATTGACAATGGAAGAGCTGCAGAATTCATCCGCAGGCGAAACTACTATGACAAATCAAAGTGCTATGAATGTGGAGTGAGTATATTTATAAGGTCTCTAGCAGAAGTATTTATTTTTGGTCCCGCTCTTATTCTTAAACCAGTTCAGCTTGAAGCACACTTCTGGATTGCCAACTATTAAATTGATAGATAAATTGTTAGAATTATTTTCCAGCAGTGACTATAACTTTCAAAAGTCAGCTTGCAGATGGCAATTCCTTCTTGCTTTATCACAGTTTGTATGCTAATATTCACATGCACTCTAGTTCATGCTTCTGTTTTTAAGTGTTTGCAAATACTACACTGTCTCTTCCAAAGAGTAACACATACCTGAGGCATAAGCCCACTTTCTCAAAATATGCATTTGTGAGGTGGGGAATATTAAAGGTCACAGTCCTTCACACTTTTGCTGCATGAGTATACTCGTGTGTAGGCACCTCGTTAGAAGCTTTCCATTTAGCAGAGTTTCTGGAAGCGGTGGTCAGCAATTGAAGCTACACTTTGAGAAGAAACACTCACAGACACCATAAAACTCAGTCAAGTGATTTATTGCTTGACTGGTCATAAACACATCATGGTAGCACTATTTATAATCATTACAGTAATAGCTGTAATGGCATACTTAAGTTTCAGTTCCTGTTTCTTTTTAGCAACGATGTAGGCAAACAGAGTCTATAGGCAGTCATGACGCAACAGTTTGCAGATAGCATTTGGTGGTCAGTCATCTGCAAAAAGTGAAAATGAAAGTTCTCCTTTTATTGGCCCTTCCAGCTGAAGCTGCACATGCTCAGATTGCCTCTCCCACTTATATATGACTGTTTTGGAATCTTCTCCCTGTTCCTGGATGAATTACTCCCTAACAGGGAAACCCTAGAACCTCTGTTGCGCTTTTTTGTGAGTCCTGTTCACAAATATATATACCTTTTCTCTTAAGGAAACAGGGCATTTAAGCTATGCATGTCCTAAGAACATGCTAGGGGAGCGTGAGCCACCAAAGAAGAAAGAAAAGAAGAAAAGAAAGAAAGCAATTGAAGAAGAAGAAGAGGAGGAAGAAGAAGAAATGTAAGTGCAAGGAGATGTATGAAGCAGCTTTCATTTTCCCATGTTTTTCTTGTGAGTTTATAAGATATATTTGGGTGTCTCCCCTCTCCTTCCTTTCTTTCTTTGCTGCACAGTGAGGGAGAACCAGAAAGTGA